TTTTACTTTTTCGACTTCTTCTTGAAAACTACAAGCCTGAATGCTTTGATACTTGGTGTATATGTACCTTGGGTAGACCTCTCTCAGATTTGTTCATTTCATGATAATATCTTCAATTCTCTAATTTTGGTGAATATTTTTGTCATTTTTGGTAAAAAGTGATATTTTCAACTTCTTGTTGAAAACCGCAAGTCCAATTGCTTTGATATTACATATATAGGTACTACATGTGGACCTCTCTCAGATTTGTTCATTTTGTAATGATATCTTCAATTCTCTAATTTTGGTGAATATTTTTGTCATTTTTGGTATAAGTGATATTTTCGACTTCTTGTTGAAAACCTCAAGTCCAATTGCTTTGATATTACATATATAGGTACTACATGTGGACCTCTCTCAGATTTGTTCATTTTGTAATGATATCTTCAATTCTCTAATTTTGGTGAATATTTTTGTCATTTTTGGTAAAAGTGATATTTTCGACTTCTTGTTGAAAACCTCAAGTCCAATTGCTTTGATATTACATATATAGGTACTACATGTGGTTCTAACTCAGATTTGTTCATTTCATGATGATATCTTCAATTCTCTAATTTTGATGAATATTTTTTAATTTTTGGTAATTGGTGATATTTTCCACTTCTTGTTGAAAACCGCTAGTCTGATTGTTTTGATACTACACATATTGTTCATTTTCTAATGATATCTTATGTTCTTTAATTGAAATGTGCATTGCTAACAGCGGAGCTATCTCAGCCGAGAGGCTGCTTGTTTTCATTTTCTGATTCGGATAATTTGCTTGCACACACAGTCAGTAATATTTTGATCATATGACAAATTTTCATCAAGATACATGTACATAATTTTCTGCATCCAAATTTTTGTTGACTGTGTTGGTGTTTTGTTTTTTAATATCGAGCCTCTTATAATTTGTTACATAGTTGAAGTAGTTCTAGAGCATTAGTGTCTACACTTAATCTATCTGAAGTGTCACTTTAAAAGCTGTAGTTTGAATGTCAAAGAAGTTAATTTCCAGGTTGCTGTTGACAAACTTATTGTTCATTTTTAATTAATTTTTTTTTCAATACAACACAGCAAGTTTTTCTTTATTGTTGAGTTGATGTGTATGCCTTTGTCAAAGCAAATCTGCCTTATCCTCTTGCCTTTTGAAAATCAAAGGTGATGATACCTGTGACAGTAATACAGTACGAAATGTGTACATCAACATGTGCCTCCTACAAATAAAGACTTGTTGTTGTTTTTTTGATACACTGTGGTTCAATTCGTAATAACAGCTCCGTAGTCCTGTGGTTTTAGCAGCATTTTTTTGTTCTCCCTCACGCATTAGTTTTGGGGTCTTTAGAGCATGTCATCCATAAAATTAAATCAGTGTGGCCTAACTGAAAACTCATAATACTTTTGTTCTATCCACAGATTATTTGGATTTCCAGAACACTACACTGATGTAGGCAATATGAGTAGAACAGCACGTCAGAAGTTGTTAGGACAAGCATGGAGTGTACCTGTTGCTAGGCACTTACTAGCACCCCTTAAGGAATATTTTGCCTGTGATATGTACAAATATGCAAATTATTGTACCTAATTACTCCTGTTACTTGTGCTGTATTTTCAACAGATAAAGCCGCTTCTATAAAAACATTGTTATAAAAAGGTTTATAATTTTTTACTTGTAATTTCTTGTTCTTCTAAAATTGTTATTTATGTTTTATTTTAAAAAGATTCTATTTTTTCAGTGCTGGCACTGTTAATTATTTGTTATTTATTTTAGCGTTTATTAGTTTATTTGTTATCAATACATTGTTACCATTATTTGTATCTATATAAAATTTGAAAATATGACTGAATTGAATTTGTGTTTAATTTGTGGAAGGTATGTATGTAACAAAAAACCCTCAGAAAAAGTACACTGTTTGTTGGTGACAAATTAGCACATCAGCTACCTAACACTTTTAATACATCTAGCTGTATTGAGCCAGAGTGACTTAACATATTGATGTTAATGGAAGGTAGTGGGTCTGAGCAGTTAGTTTGTCTTTGTCATGAGTGAGGTCAATGTATCTTTACATAATTTGCACTCAACATTTAAGATTTGCCATGCAGCCCTGCAGATTGTCTTATTTAACTGGACTTTTTAACTTGCCCGTACTATCAAAGATGGAAGGGAAAGGTATATTAAGGGAAAAAATGTGTTGTCGTTATTGTTGTCTTTAATAATTGTTATTGTGTGCACAATAACTTTACTAATTCCATTCCAAACTTCATCAAAGTTGGTCACCTTATTCATCAGTACTTTGATGCCGTACTTTGCCACTACTTTCCACTACTTTGGTGTACTTTGCCACTATTTTGCCGTAATGTGAAACTACCGTACTTTTCACTACTTTGCCGTACTTTGCCACTACTTTGCCGTACTTTGCCACTACTTTGCAGTACTTTGCCACTACTTTGCAGTACTTTGCCAATACTTTGCTGTACTTTGCCACGACTTTGCCGTACTTTGCTGCTACTTTGCCGTACTTTGCGCTACTTTGCCGTACTTTGCCGCACTTTGCCACTTCTTTTCTGTACTTTACCACTACTTTCCACTACTTTGGCACTACTTTCCCAATACTTTTCCTTACTTTGCCACTACTTTGCCATACTTTGCCACTACTTTGCCGTACTTTGCCACTACTTTTCAGTACTTTGCCACTACTTTGCCGTAATTTGCCTCTGCTTTGCTGTACTTTTCAGTACTCTTACCACTACTTTTCAGTACTCTTACCACTACTTTTCATTACTTTGCCACTAATTTGCAGTACTTTGCCTCTACCTTGCCGTTCTTTGCCACTACTTTGCCGTACTTTACCATTACTTTTCAGTACTTTGCCACTACTTTGCAGTTCTTTGCCATTACATTTCAGTACTTTGCCACTACTTTGCCACTACTTTTCTGTACTTTGTCACTACTTTGCAGAACTTTGCCACTACTTTGCTGTACTTTTCAGTACTTTGCCGTACATTGCCACTACTTTGCCGTACTTTGCCACTATTTTTCAGTTTTTTGCCACTACTTTGCCGTACTACTTTGCCGTATATTGCCACTACTTTGCCATACTTTGCCACTACTCTGCTGTACTTTGCCACATCTTTGCCGTACTTTGCTACTACTTTGCCGTACTTTGCCACTATTTTGCAGTACTTTGTCACTATTTTGCAGTACTTTGCCACTACTTTCCCGTTCTTTGCCACTACTTTTCAGTACTTTGCCAATACTTTGCCGTACTTTGCCAATACTTTGCCGTACTTTGCCACTACTTTGCCCTATTTTG